TTAATGGTTCTTTCATCGATGCTTGCATCAACTTTAAGACATTTAAGAGTAACTGTTAATTCGCTGTCTCTCCACTCGTATTTATGAACCTTTCAAAAACCTCCTCTACCGATCAAAATAGGGTTAATAAATTTATTATATTCGATATAATTAATATGTTTATCAAAAATAGCTTTTTCAAAAGCCATTTATCTGGTATGTTTGCCATGGTTTTTTGTATGTGCTAATATTTGTCGAAAAACAACATTCGTGCGTATACGTACTATTAAACCTGAAATACAGAAATAATTTTTTTACATACGTATGTACATACGTAACTTGATCTAATTTTTATGTCATTTACTGCACGTGTAAATGCAAACGTGCATATATGATGTAATTGAATGAATAAAAATATGCAAAAACCTTGTTAGGTAAAAACCTGATTCCCAAAACATCTCACCAACATTATAGATTATTCGGCACTGCTACCATAGGAAATGGTTATTCGGCACCTGCGATCTACTTATCCCCCAGCTCTGCTTTATTATAAGGATAACATCGCAGGGTGCAACGTAGACATTTATTCTTAATTAAAAGCCCAAAAGTAAAAAATCATCACCAAACCCATCCCTAATCTAAACCCTATGAAAAAAGTTTTACTGAAATTTAGTGAATTTTATACCGAAATATTCCGTATATTTCCGTAAAACTTTTTCATAGGGAAACAATCGTATTACAGGATTTAATCACCTTATGGTGATATATATGCGATTGATTTAGTTGCATTCAAATTATCATGATTTTATTATGAGTTTCTGTAAAAATTTTCTTCAAAAACTTATTCGCTATCTCACTAGTATGTGGAATGTGTTAAGATTTAGTTAGTTTATACTCATTTCTATCATGAGTTACTATAAATATTTCTGGTACAAAACTTGCTCAATATTCCAGTGGTATTTATATGTAATTTTTTACCATGATTTACTGTAAAGTAGTGGTTGGATCCAGTTTAATGAAAAGCCGGATATCCGATTATCATAAATTAAAACTGGATAGGTTATATAAAAAAATCGGATACAGTATCCGGATATCATTCGGATATCCGATTATCATAAATTAAAACTGGATAACTTATATAAATACAGTAAATCGGATACAGTATCCGGATTCATATCCGGTGTAATGAATTAATTATGATCTTTTCTTCTTATAATTATTAAAGCTCACTATATGAAGTGGCACGCATACTGACATGAGACTAATACAGTAATATGATAGCATGTGTCTAATTTAGTAGGTTCTAGAAGTGCTCTTTTATATTAATCAAAAATATATAGAACTAAAACTTCTATTCAATAAAAGTGGTGTTCCGCGATATAGTTTCGAGATCCGGATTCGATCTGCAATTCCATTTCGAATCCCATAATTTGCAGATCCGAATCCAAAGAGAGATTCGATCGAATAATATTCGACAAACGTCAAACCACTAATTTCTTGTGATCTTTTTTTTTTTTGAAAAGCATATAAAATATTACTATTCAAATTCATCGAGCTAATAGTGCCAGATATCGAACTTCATTGAATGATTTTAACGTAAATGAATGTGCAGCATATATTAATAGGATTGTGCGTTGGTTAAGAAGATTCAGATACGAATCTTGCTTCTTGTGGACTGTAGCACGTTTATTTCTTATTGTAACATTGCAGGAGCAGATAATTTATCGTTATGATCTTATCTCAGATTAAATTCATAAAGGTTAATGCAAAACTTCTCATCGTATATGTACGTACGTATGTAACAATAGATATGTCACTTATTAAAAATTTTATAAGCTTTAATCGTTGTAGCCACATATAATTTTGATTTACTTAGTTGACAGACCTCCTCAATGAAACATGTCACAAATTAAAATCAAAAATGAATTGGAACTATGATAAATAACCACATATGAGATTCAATACAAGAAAAAAATTGAACGCAGCTGACTTACGAGAGACAAATCAATGCCCGATTTTTACTATTACTATATTGTCAAAAAAAAAAAAGGCAATAATAATTTACAAATATTTACTTTGAAAAAATGCAATGCTCCATATATTTATTCTATAAACACATGAAATCGATAAAAAATTTTGGGCGAACAGCACTAGAACTGTTACGTACAATATGTAAAAATGTTTAATTTCCTTTTTGGATAAAATGGGCAATGTGGCGGCTCACGAGGATGCATTAAAATATTAATTGACAAATTAAATTTCATAAATTTAAGATCAACTCTAACAAATTTAGATGTAACTAGGAATAACCCATCAAGTAAAATGCTAATGTCGTTAAAGTTAATGTCGTTAATACTTCGCAAAATAATAATAATAATAATAATAAAAAGTAAAACTTTCATTCAAACGAAGATCAGAATACTGGATCGTTTATTTCAAAATAAATACGTCATCAATTTCAATTAAAATCAGATTTCCGCGTTTTAACTTTGAAACCCCTATTAAATTCGCTGCCATATAAACAAGTTATTGTGCGTAACATACAAACGGTGTTATCCGGTGATTTACGGCGCTAACTAACTCTAGTTTTTGTCAGTGGTTATGTATACTGCCAAATAACTTCATTATTTGGAAGATGACGCAATCACTGACAAGAAATATTGCACGTGGACTTTCCAAAATAACGCACAGCGTTAATTATATATAATATACAGTATATAGGGGGATAGTTTTTATACCCCGCATTTTATATTCATACCCTTAATAAAACAAAAACTTTGAGCGAAATATCTTAACATACACTGAATTCGATGAGGTTTTTTATTCGAATCATCTAATCATAAAATCAAACTAAAAAAAATTTCATTGAATTTGATCAGGTGGTTGTCGAGATATCTTCACTCAAAGTTTAAAAAAACTCAACGCCTGTATGTTAAATTTTTTTGAAATTTTGAACGAAGATATCTCGACAACTACTTGATCAAATCCAATTTAAATCCTCTAAACTCATAGAATTGAAATGAAAAAAATTCATTGAATTTGATCGGGTGGTTGTCAAGATATCTCTACTCAAATTTTTAAGAAAATTCGAATGCCTATCAATATAATAATAATACAGTGCTAAGAAGTTGCGTCAGATTTTTTAAACCTTTGAGTGAAGATATCTCGACAGCCACCTGATCAAATTCGATGAAATTTTCTTTTATTTGAAGATTCACTGAATTTGATCAGGTAATTGTTGAGATATCTTCGCTCAAAGTTTTAAAAAATTTGGCACAGCTTTTTATGTTGATACCGTATAGTTCCGAAATCAAGCACCACCCCCTCTACCCCAATTTTTTGAATCTCAGATTAGCGGGAGTAATTTGGCCAAAGAACTTATTAAAAATTCCGCTAATCTGAGATTCAAAAATTGGGGTAGAGGGGTGGTGCTTAATTTCGGAACTATACGGTAATCGTTGAATTTTAAAAATTTTGAGTGAAAATATCACGACAACCACCTGATCAAATTCAATGGAATTTATTATTATTATTATGATTATATGAGTTTAGACGATTCAAATAAAAAGATTTTCACCGAAATTGATCAGGAGATTGTCGAGATAACTTTGCTCAAAGTTTTAAAGAAATTTAACATATAGGCGTTTTGAGATTTTTTTTTAAAGCTTTGAGCGAAGATATTTCGACAACCACCTGATCAAATTCAATAAAATTATTTTATTTGATTCTATGAGCTTAGACGATTCAAATAAAAAAAAAATTCATCGAATTCAGTCAGGTGTTTGTAGTGATAGATGTTTGTTGAGATATATTCGCTCAAAATATTAGGTTTGTTAAGGGGTATGAATAATAAATGTGGGGGGTATAAAAACTAACCCCTTTTATATATGTATATATATTTGTAAAATTTTCTCTTTTCTATTGAATATCGCCAAGTAAATTCTAATCTTCATGTATGTGTTTAATCAAATCTCGCATGTCACCCTTTTGCATAAAAATAAATTTCCGAATGAAGCGAGGGACCAATAATATGGTAGCCTCAAATTGAGATAATCCAAAATGAATCATAATTAAAAACGTGTTTATTTTATTTCACCGCCATATACTTATAAAGTTAATCGTAACCTATCTGGGTTAGTTTCTGTAATCATCCAAATTCCTTTTTAAGATTTGAAGAAATTATCGTTATACGTAGCTAAAATTTGCAAGCCGGCTAGCGATTTACTATTAGTTTTAAATGCTATGAGAGCCAGTTATTAACGTTGTTATTACCTATTCTGCAGATAAATGAATTTGCTTCATCGAAAATTTCATATATAGATAATCACTTCACTGATAGTTCATTTAACAAGGTCAACTTTCGGAAAAAGTCTGAATTACAGTATTCATGTAAATATTTTACAAAGACAGAATCATATATAAGGTAGATCGCTATTAAAATAACTAAGTGAAACTACAATATCTTCCTTGTCTCAAACTCTGGTAGCTCTTAATCGGACAATGCGGACCAAATTTTTGACTATCAGAGTGTACCTATTTAAGTAAATGATTACTAAAGGAATGACACGGTGATACCCAAGATGGTTACAATCAGGTTGTAACATTGAAACATAACATAACGAGATAAATGTTAGGTCTATGTTTTACAAATAATCAATTTATGGATAAAATGGACGAGTTTTTCCAACTTTTTAACCGCAGTAATTATAATTCATAACTATATATGGGTATAATAACATTAAATAACAATTAATTAATATTAACGTTAAACAATATTAAAATTTTGTAATCCAATCTAGATTCATCTTTGTGTGACCATATTATGTATATAAACATTTTCTTTGAGATTCACTTTTTTCCTTGCTGAATTTTGAAATTCTTTTTTCAATTGTTCTTATAAAATTCAACCACCCTTATTACCGGTATTTTAAATCATTCCTGGAGAGTGATAAAAATTTCCAAGTAGCATACAGCATACAAATAAACTATCATTCATTAATTCCTCACATTTATATAAAAAAATGACCAAAATTTCAAAATCCGAAAAACATTCCAAAGATCGTTTCGATAATCCACAAATTTACACACCATATCGAAGTAGACTATCTCCATTATTCAGATGGCGTGGTTCGGTTATTCCAAAAGTTTTACCCCAAACCATTTTCATTACCGTTATATCAGTTGCTGTTACTGTTCTCTACCAATATACGGATATTAAACTATCAATTCAACCAACGTTCATTTCCATTATTGGATTCATTGTTTCTTTGCTACTTGGTTATCGAACAAATACCGCTTATGATAGGTAATTATTATTTATCATTATAATTAGTCTTGAAAACATTTATAATTATAAGTGATACTAAAGATATGTAATATCAATATTATTAAAGATATTGGGAAGGTCGTCGGTTATGGTCAACTATGGTAGTATCAATTAGAAATTTTGCACGTTGCATTTGGGTAAATGTCAACGAAACTGAACCAAAATATTTGCTTGAGAAAAAAACTGCCATAAATCTTTTATTAGGTTTCGCTATAGCAGTCAAACATTATCTTCGTGAAGAAGATGGAGTTGATCATTCTGATTTGAAACCGTATATCGCAAACATAAGATCAACACTTCCTGCATTTCACCCTCTTGATAAAAATACCTATAAAAAACCAACTGGTTTTCGAAAATTATTTTCACGTTCTCTTAGCACAAGTGAATTAGGTGGTGATTGTAAAAATATAGTTAATCATAATTTGCCACTTGAAATCTCATTTTATTTATCTTCGTACATTAAGCAACAAAAGATTAATAGTTCTACTGATGATGCAACAATAGGCGTCATGTATAGCAATTTGTGTACTCTGACAGATTGTTTAACAAGTTTTGAAAGAGTTCTTAGATCTCCTATTCCTCTTGCTTATTCAATTCATTTAGCTCAAACTACTTGGTTATTTTGTTTAAGTCTTCCATTTCAATTGGTTCAAGATAATGGATGGATTACTATACTAATAACATTTTTCGTTGCTTTAGTCTTATTGGGTGTTGAAGCGATAGCAAATGAAATTGAAAATCCTTTTGGTAAAGATGATAATGATTTAGATCTTGATGATTTTTGCGGAATTCTTAAATTAGAACTTTTAAACATCATGGCTCATAAAGCTCCATCTCTGGATGATTGGGTTTATTCATCAGAAAATCATCCATTTGAAACTGATAACATTACAGCCACTGAAGCAAAAAATTTAAATATAGACGAAGTTAGAAATATGTTGAAAGAGGATAATAGGAAACTAAGTTCTGAAAACCGAAGGATCTCTGATTCTGATAGTTCTGATACCATAAATCAAAATGAAATTTATATTCATGTTAGTTCATAAATTATATGTTTGGGGGTTTCTTGTTTTTAAATAAAAATTTTAATATGTTTATCGGTTCTGTGGGGAACTAGTTTTTTTGTATATAACCACAAGAACATCTTTTCATTTATCATTTTGGTTGTTATTTAAATATAACTCAGTCACTTCTACAGTATATTATTGTCGTAAATGAATGAAAAATATTTTGCTCTTTTAGTTGATGAATGAATTTTGGCAACTATCAGACCAAATTCGATAAAGATTTTTAACGGCAAGAAAAAAAATTCTTAACAATAATAAAATTTGTATATTTAGACTAAACTCAATTAGACTAAATTTTATGAACTATTTTCCCTATAAAAGTGTGTTCTCACTAAGGTTGCTGGTGCAGGTTGCGCACCGGATAAGCATGTGACAGTTCGGACTACTACTCCGGAATTCAAAATTACTAACATTATCGTTAACTTTAATACATAATACGTTTAAGTTACTTACCGCTGTTTTCAAATTCTGGGACAAACTAAAATTTGCTCATTTCCCGAAATCTCTTTGGTTTCGTTCTATGAATCATCTAATTTCCGGAAGATACACTGCTATTTCCGGACTGAAGTTCCGAAGACATCCGAAGAGTCAAGTGATTTTTAGGATGAAACCGAAGAGATTTCGCTGTATAATTACTTAATAAATTTAACGGACCTTTATGAAAGAAAATAGATTTAACGAAAAAAAAATTTTTAAAATAACTACTTAATGAAAATAATCGATTTTTATTCAATAAACTTTTTTTGCATATAGTCAAATCTATCTATATAACGAACTCTGTACCAAATTATCATTATTAAATAAATTAAATCAGTGTTTTTTTTGGGGGGAATTTACAAATAAGGGCCCAAAAATGACAAATAGGGGACCAAAATCAACATAATTACATATAGGGGCCCAAAAATTAAAATTATTACAAGTAAGGGCCTATCCGGTCTCCGAGCTAAGTGCAAGTCACGAGACTTGTTTATTCGCTTTCTTTCGAGATCGACCGGTCAAGCAAATTTCGGTCATGTGACTTGTACTACATGTGGGCCAATCAAATTCCGAGTTAGGATAACTTGAACCAAATTCTGGTTCATGTAACCTAATCAACCCGAAGTGAGTTAACCTGAACCTGGAATTTAGCTCAGGCTAACCCGAAATAGATTAACTTAAACCAAATTCTGGTTCAATGGGTTAACATGAACCAGAATTTGGTTCAATTTATTCTAACTCCCCAGCACAATATTATTTGTTTTTTCCAGGTGTATATTTCGTTTCAGTTTCAATAATGCATAGTTCACAACTAATATAGTTTGCATTTATCAAATAAAATTCAACTCTGGTATATCAGACCAGATTATTTCAATATAAGAAACATGTGTGCAAGGCTTTTCATTTGATAGATCTGATGATGAAGTGACTGAAAAATCTAAGATTTAGAATATCTAGAAGTTATTATAGATAAACTTGTTGTCTATAGACAACCTTATATATTTCTTTGGTTAAATTAATTTTATCAAGAGTTATATCAAACATAATTAATATAGAATGATATTATTTAAATAAAATAAATTAATTAAAGAAATAAAAATAAAATAATAAATAAGTATTAAAAAAAATAAATTAAATTAAAAATACTATACTATACTGATTAAAAGACCCGGGATCTAAAACAAATTACCTAACCAAAAACTTATAAAATACCCGGGTATATTATATGGCAAAGGATCTCTATCGCAACCTAGAAAAATTTAAAGTGCATATATATTCCTTATTTATGGTATAAAGCCAGAGACTTTAAAAAGAGCTGCTTACAATTAATAGAATTCCTGTGATTTTCACCTGAGTATTTTACATAGGGATATAATAAAATGGGGGTCTTTTAATCAGTGCAGAATGGTATTAAAAAAAAATATTAAAATATATATATATAAATAAAAAATAATAAAACTGTATTTTTAATATCTAATTTAAACATTAAAACTTCTTGCATCCAGCAATAATATCAAAAAAATAAATAAATAAATATATCAAAAAAAAAATATATATAAAAATATTAAAAAAATAAATATTAAAAAACTTCTTTTAGATAATAACAAACCTTGGATTACTTTACTATTAAAAATATTTATTAGTTACCTTATGCTATTTTATCTAATTAAATTTTTTTTAAATAAATTAAATATGGGGTTTTGCTTTAAAAATTGAGTTACGGGACTAGTAATTTTTTTTAAGTAAACAGTAAATAAAGATTGTGTAACCAAAACAACACAAACCTGATTTTCGCTAATTTTAGATATGATCTTCATATAATTTTTTATTATTGGATAAAAATTAAATTGTATAATGATGCCCATACAAAATTGATGGTATCCACTGCATTTACTAATTTCTCCCAAGTTTCAATATTTTGACCAATCAGAATGCAAGATCAGGTGTAACACGAAGATCAAAACAACAACTGCTTTTTTTGAAAAGGTTTTTCTAAGCATCTTTGGTCAGAGATATATAACTTATATATCTCTGGCCTCTCTAACCAATTAAAAAATGCTGAAATCATATGACTAAGATTCATGTTCTGATTCGATCGCTAATGTCAGGTCAAACAATCTTACCCTGCATCGCCATACTTTATACAATCACACATGGTACCCTATTTGCTATTAAATGTTTGTTTTTATTATTATCTTTTATTTTTTTATTTTTTTTTGATCTTTATTAACTTTGTTTTAGATCGTCATATACTTTGTCCTATCTTTTTTAAGTCGTTATTACGCCTTTTCCTTGCACCACTCATCTTTAGAGTCCTAGATTGAGTAATTTTACTTTTGGTAAGTATCTTAGTTTTTCAGGTTTTGCAAATTTCCTATTGGTCTTTTATTGCTTATTCTTTTTTCTGGCGTTAAGTTGTTTTAGTGCCTTCTACCAAATTTCGTTTAATGTCAATCTTGTATCAAAAATTATTGGTGGATTAAGGCCTAAACGTGTTATATTAAATTAGCTAAGTTTCAAGCTGTTTTTGTTTATTATTTTGGTTATTGTTTTTTTATTCATATTTTCAATAAGTTTCAACATTTATCTATATATTCATCTTTTATTAGGTTTGTTACCCTTTACAGTTTCATTAGTCGAAGCCTTTTTCACACGATGAAAGACAAAACTTGCTTGGGCTTTCTAAAAAGTAAAGGAGGGAAAAATTTGTAAAATTCTGTCATATATAGCACTAGAGATTTTAATGGGTCAACCCTGTTCAAGTATTAGATATTTATAGTCTTGAAGTTATAGCGACTGAGATTTCTATTATACAAAGAGCATTTGATGGAATTCCGTTTAATGGTGATCTTGTATCAAAAATTATTGATGAATCAAGATCTAAATGAGCTATATTAAATTAGCTAAGTATTAAGCTGCTTTTGTTTATTATTTTTTTTATTCATATTATCTTCAATATCTTTATCTTTTATTAGGTTTGTTACCCTTTGCAGTTTCGTTAGTCGAAATCTTTTTCACATGATAAAAGACAAAACTTGCTTGGGCTTTCTAAAAATGTAAAGGAGAGAAAAATTTGTAGAATTCTGTCTCATATAGCACTAGAGATTTTAATGGGTCAACCCTGTTTAAGTATTAGATATTTATAGTCTTGGAGTTATAGCGACTGAGATTTCTATTAGACAAAGAGCATTTGATGGAATTCCGTTAAATAGTGATCTTGTATCAAAAATTATTGATGGATCAAGATCTAAACGTATTATATTAAATTAGCTAAGTATTAAGCTACTTTTGTTTATTTTTTTTTTATTTATATTATCTTCAATATCTTAATCTTTTATTAGTTCTGTTACCCTTTGCAGTTTCATCAGTCGAAGCCTTTGATGAAAGACGAAACCTGCTTGGGCTTTCTTAAAAAGTAAAGGAGAGAAAATTTTGTGGAATTTTGCCATATATAGCACCAGAGGTTTTAGTGGGTCAACCGTATTCAGATATTTACAGCCTTGAAGTTATAACGACTGAGGTTCTACTAAACAAAAAGCATTTGATGAAATTCCATTTAATGGTGATCTTGTATCAAAATTTATTGGTGAATCAAGACCTAAACATGTTAAATTAAATTAGCTAAGTAACAAGCTGCTTTTGTTTTTTTATTCAATAAGTTTCAATGTTTATCTATATCTCATCTTTTATTAGTTTTGTTTCCCTTTACAGTTTCATTAGTCGAAACCTTTTTCACATAATGACAAAAGACGAAACCTGCTTGGCTTTCTAAAAAAGTAAAGAAGAGAAAAATGTGTGGAATTCTGCCATTATATAGTACTAGAGGTTTTAGTGGGTTAACTATATGCTCAAGTATCAGATATTTACGGTCTTGAAGTTATAGTAACTGAGAATTCTACTAGACAAAGAGCATTTTATGGAATTCTATTTAATAGTAATATTGTGGCAAAAAATTATTGTTGACCAAGACCTAAACATGTTACATTAAATTAGCTAAGTACAAGCTGTTTTTTTTTTGTTTTTTTTATTCACATCTTCAATGAGTTTCAATGTTTATCTCTTTTATTAGTTTTGTCACTCTTTACAGTTTCGTCAGTTAAAACCTTTTTCATATGATAACAAAAGACAAAACCTGCTTGGGCTTTCTAAAAAAGTAAAAGAGAGAAAAAATTTGTCAAATTCTGCCATATATAGCATCAGATGTTTTAGTGAGTCAACTATATGCTCAAGTATCAGATATTTATAGTCTTGGAGTTATAATGACTGAGATTTCTACTAGACAAAGAGCATTTGATGGAATTCCATTTAATAGTAATCTTGTATCAAAAAATTATTGGTAAATCAAGACCTAAACGTGTTATATTAAATTAGCTAAGTAAAGCTGTTTTTGTTTATTTTTTTTATTAACATTATTTTCGAGTTTCAACATTTATCTATCTATATCTTAGTTTTGTTATCCTTTACAGTTTTATCAGTTGAAACCTTTTTCATGTAATGACAAA